GAGCCTGCTGGGGAAACTGAGGCACGCCGGACGCATCTGAGCCCGCTTCGTCCCAGTCTGTCCCAGTATATCCCAGTTCAACCCCAGTTTGTTCCGGTTCGTCCCAGTTCATCCCAGTGCTGTATAGAGCATTGAGAGCCTGCTGGGGAAACTGAGGCACGCCGGACGCATCTGACCCCGGTTCATCCCAGTGCCTTCCCAGTATATCCCAGTTCAACCCCAGTTTGTTCCGGTTTGTTCCGATTTGTCCTGGTGCTGTAAAGAGCATCGAGAGCCTGCTGGGGAAACTGAGGCACGCCGGACGCATCCGACACCGGTTCAGACCAGTCCATCCCAGTCCATCCCAGTCTATCCCAGTTCATCCCACTTTGTCCCAGTTCATCCCACTTTGTCCCAGTTCATCCCAGTCCATCCCAGTCCGTCCCAGCGCTGTACGAGTGGGAGAGCATCAAGTGCCTGCTGGGGAAACTGAGGCACGCCGGCCGCATCTGACACACCGGTTCAAACCAGTCCCTCCCAGTTTGTCCCAGTTCATCCCAGTCCCTCCCAGTCCCTCCCAGTTCGTCCCAGTCCCTCCCAGTTCATCCCAGTCTGGCCCAGTTCCCCCCAGTGCCTTCCCCCCCCCCCAATAAAGGCGTGGCCAGTCAATGACGTCATCACGTTCTCTGGGGGCGTGGCTTAAAGGGGCGTGGCCCGGCCGAGTTTTACTGGGTTTTACTGGTTTTTAAAGGTTTTTACTGGTTTTGGGTGGTTTTTGTCGCGGGTGCGTCCCAGTATAAACCAGTTTGTCCCAGTTTGTACCAGTTCATCCCAGTTTGTCCCAGTCTGTCCCAGTTTATCCCAGTTCATCCCAGTTTGTCCCAGTTCAGACCCTGGCAGTCCCAGTTTGTCCCAGTCTGTCCCAGTTTGTCCCAGTTCAGACCCTGGTGGGTCCCAGTTCATCCCAGTTCATCCCAGTTTGTCCCAGTTCAGGCCCTGGCGGGTCCCAGTTTGTCCCAGTTCATCCCAGTTCGTCCCAGTTTGTCCCAGTTTGTCCNTCCCAGTTCATCCCAGTTTGTCCCAGTTCAGGCCCTGGCGGGTCCCAGTTTGTCCCAGTTCATCCCAGTTCGTCCCAGTTTGTCCCAGTTTGTCCCAGTTCAGGCCCTGGCGGGTCCCAGTTTGTCCCAGTTCATCCCAGTTCGTCCCAGTTTGTCCCAGTTTGTCCCAGTTCAGACCCTGGTGGGTCCCAGTTCATCCCAGTTTGTCCCAGTTCAGGCCCTGGCGGGTCCCAGTTTGTCCCAGTTCATCCCAGTTCNTGTCCCAGTTCAGACCCTGGTGGGTCCCAGTTCATCCCAGTTTGTCCCAGTTCAGGCCCTGGCGGGTCCCAGTTTGTCCCAGTTCATCCCAGTTCATCCCAGTCTGTCCCAGTTTGTCCCAGTTCAGGCCCTGGCGGGTCCCAGTTTGTCCCAGTTTGTCCCAGTCCGTCCCGGCCTCCCACACGGCGCCTCCGCGTTGCCCAGCAACGCCTCGCCCCGCCCCCGCCGCTGTCAATCACCCTCATCGCCCAATCAGAGCGCGACCCACCCCGCCGTCCGCATGGGCGGGGCTTCAACTGACAGACAGCACCCTGAACCAATGGGAAGAGCCGCTAGGCGGGTGCCGCGGCGGCGCCGGCCAATCAGCGCCGCGAAAGCCCTGCAGGAGCGGGGCGGGCGGCCCCGTGCGGCCCCTCAGAGCCGGGGCGGCGGCGGCGGCGAAGATGGCGGCGGCGGACGGCGACGATTCGCTTTACCCCATCGCGGTGCTCATCGACGAGCTCCGCAACGAGGACGTGCAGGTACCGCTGACCGGGATTTCGCCGGTGCTGCCTCCGGGCTTTTCCGGGGCTTCGGGGCTTCTTT